AACTCATTTGAGTTGAGCGCTGGGTTGATACAGGCATTCAAGTCTCTGTATAGGGACTCTAGTGCTTGTTTCAGGATCAACGGGGCCTACTCGGATTGGTTTGGCATCCATAAAGGTGTCTGGTGTGGTAAAGGTGACAGCGCTGTGTGGCTTCCCCATGTCTGTTCAACTTATTTATGGACAGTTGTTTGAAAAATTTGAAAGTAGAAGAATGAGGGTTAAGATTGGGTGAGTTAACCGTCAAATGCCTTTTGTACGCCGGTGATCAAGTCATACTTGCGTCGTCGGCGGCCGAGTTGCAAATGATAGTTACATTAATGAGTAGGACATTAAAAGAAAAGGGAATGAAAGTGAACGCAAGTAAGACGAATGTTATGGTTTTTGAAAGAGAAGAAAGTAAAACGATATGTGAAATAACAATAGAAGTTGGTAGGAGTAAGGAGTATGAGTACAACAAGTAGGAGTTGGTCGTACAAGTAAATTATTTCGTGTATTTGGGAAGTGCATTTAGCAGGGATGGTAGATATGATAAGGATACAGAAGGACGTGTGAACGCAGGAAAATTTTTGTTTTTAAAAAAAATTATGTTGCAGAGGTGAATGGCAGTGTCGGGAAGGGACTACCTAGGCGAAAGTTTATCGACCAAATTGGCGATATATTGAAAATAGGCCAAATTAAGAGTACCTTTAACCAACGAGCGTGTATGCGCAGGTATATGGATGTGGAGGAAGCGAGAGAGGTGTGACAGGATCGTGCCAAATGGAAGTCCGTAGTCTCTGCCTACACCCCTGGGTGGCAGGCGTGAGTGTTTATGTTTTTTATATGTTTTTTGAAATTTTCAAATATATATATATCTACTAGCCATTCGAAAATTCTAAACTCAAATCTCTCAGTCCGATGATGACTAGCAAATTTATTAGTGCATAGTTATAATATCATTACGCTTATCGACCCGCCTGCTCATAATGGCAAGGGCGAATCTTTAAGATTGGCGTGTTTTGAGCTTTTGAGGCATTCCTCAGAATGCCTAGACGCACTCCATAAAATATATATGTATAGATTTATTATTGATGTAGCTATACTTATATTGTTGATGTAGCTTTATATGCTATACATCAATAATCTAAGAGTTTAGAAAAACTTACACAGCACGCAATGATCATGAGCTGTGATGATCCTGATAATTATTTTATTCCATTTTGGTTATCCTGATCAGGATACCAGAATAAAGTTATTAAAATATTGTATTGTCATCGGTCCTTAATTAGAGTACAAATTTTCAAGTCACTCGGCCATCTACAAGTTGGTGAAAATTACATTGAAAGATTCGGTTACATAGATAGATCCACGCGAAACTAATTAAAGCGTAAACTAACAAATTTAGAATGGACTGCTCGACGATATTAGCATTAGTACAGTATTTGAAGCAATGTATTGGTTAAAAGACCCCATTTATTTATTTTCTTTTATTAATCTACCATTTCAATATCAGATGAGATCAAAGCTTAGGACTAGCTTATAAATTATAAAAAATATTATAGACTATAGACAGGTGTGGACTATCTAACTATTTACAATTCTATTAAACTTATTTTATATTCTTGCTATCCTTGTTTATATCCTTAGACCTTATCACCGACTTAAGTAAGACATTGGTATATTCATAAAATAATCTAATCTAAGAATAATGCGAAATTATTACAAGAATCTAATAAATATCACAAAGCGCTTTGTAACGTGTAAAATTTTTATATTTTGTAAATTATAAAAAAATTTATCACTAAAATAATGGCGCGCCGTCGTTTTCATGTTTTGTCCGATCGGTGTGTACGCGGGCGAAGGGCGAGGGGTAGGAGACAAGCACAGTGCTAAACGAGAATCTAGAACCGGGCATGAGAACAGTGTGACCATATGTGGCAGGTTCCTGCATTTTGGCAGCATTGGTCTCTTATTTTAGCCTCTGGCATGATTGGTTGACGTTTTATAAAACCTGGCAGTATTTGGCAGTATTGGGGTCGTAAAAATAGATTTCATTATGGCAATCGCTGAAAAACGGATTTCCCTGTATTTCTCGATTTCTCGTATTATGTTTGTATCACATTCAAAGAACAACTTTAAAAAGAATTGTGTGAAGTTGATAATCTTAAAACGAATTAACACGAGTTGCTTAATATTTCAATCAGTCATAAAAGAGACGTAGTTCAGTATGGTATCGAATTAGATTTCATGGTGATAACATCTTGTTAATAATATTTCTTGGACGATAGTAATTATAGGTGGCGGTGTTGAAGCGAAAATATAAAAGGGCGTATATATAAAGGGACTGTCCGCTTTAAAGGAGCATACCACTACTAGTAAACATCAAAAAATATGAGTGGATTCAACATGCGAAAGAATATTCTCTCAAAATAATTTAATTAAGATAAAAACACGAAACAGATTTATAAACAAATATTTACTGACTAACTTGAACGTTAAGCAAGGCATTGGTGAGCATGGCCATTGCATTGCATTCAAACCATCGAAAGATATCTTTAATTTTAATTTAAAAAATATAGCATTTATATGTATATTTTTACTTTTCTTAGTTTAATGCAATGGTAAATAAAGTTGGCAGTATTTAGGCATTTTTCACTACAGACTTTGGCAGGATTTGGCAGGTTTTTAACCAAAGTGAGGCAGGATCTGTATTTTAAAGATGGTCACCCTGCATGAGAACGTCATAGCCAGAGGTTAGCTTGCTACATATATATTTTTCTATGGTCATAGCTGCGAGCGACACCGACATGTCACGTTGTCGTCGTGGTTTTATTTTATCCTCAAATCTTTAACACAGTCTTGTGTACTTATAGTCACTTCTTCTAAATATTTTATTGTAAAAAATATAAATCTTACCCGTTTTTAAGGTGATTCCCGTACTGGGTAAGTTGTGCAAATTATTTTTTTAAGGGTATGTAGAAATAGACGCTTACTCCTTGCATTTCTTTAGCATTATTTTCCTTAATTGTAATATGTATTATATAGTATTACATTAGCTATATTTAGAGTGCTGTAAGATAATGTAAGCTTTTCGTTGTAAATGTATAGTTTGTAAAATAATCTCCCGTATTGCCATCCATCTACTAAATTACTAGTAATTCAAGTTTTTATTATTATTTAGGAACATTTTGTAGTGTTCTCATCTAGTTGAGACTTAAATAAATAATTAAAAAGGATATATAAGATAAATGTAAGTTAAATTAAATAACATATACACAATAACCTATAAAGTAAAGTAAAATAAATATTTAATCAATAAATAAATATATGATATTATTAACGCTTAGTAGCATAGTATTATACACGATTATATGTGCACGCTAGAAGAATATAGTCTATTTTAGGGTATTCGAACTCCGGACTCAGGATCAACTGTTTGATAAAACCAGTCACTGATTCACAGTGACTATTTCTCGTATTGTCTGCTGCTTAAATCGCTTATTTAATTAAACGGTTGCCTATTGTTTTAATTTTAAGTAAGAAAATTTATTTAAAACAAAATATAATTTTATCTGCCATCAGTTAACTCAAGTTGCTGCTTTCTTTTAACTTAAATCTTGCTGCATATCATATCATCCCAGGGAACTTGAATTACATGCTTTACCTGTATTTGTAAAGCTTCGTATTAGCTCTGCTCTGCATAGTTGCATAACTGTTGCTACTAGCGGTACACAAATAGTTCTATTATATACTCATACTAATGCTTAGAATGTATACATCTTCAGGAACTCCCTAAGGACTGGTTTTGTGAACAAGGGACGGGAGACAGCTGAGCTCACTGAACGGCAGCTGTCAAGATTTAATATTGGATGCACGGCAGTACCTTCCTACTGAACAGAGGCAGACTAAACAGAGCACAGGAGAGTATCGTTGTGTGGGCAATTAGATCAAAATCAATCATATTAACCGACCTCCGACCCTGAGTGTATAATAAATAAATTCTCATTATTCTTTACTCTTATTTGTTGTTTTACTTCAACTATATTGAAACGTAACAGCTTAAAACATTTATTTAAATGCAATCATAATAATGCACAAGTTAGCTGGAAACAACCCCTTTCCAGTAAAAAGGGTCCAACAAGGCCCTTTTTACTGGAAATGAGGCATTCCATCTTAGTCTTCACGGGTGACAACGCATCTACATTTTGATTTGTAATAGAGGATAGATGTAGATGTCTATGGGCCGCAGCAACCACTTACCATCAGGTGGACTGTGTGCTCGTTTGTCACCCTTTTCCTATAAAAAAAAAACAAATAGGTATTTGAATAAGCACCTTTAAAATAGTTCAACTTCTAACCTTCACTCACCAACATACATTACACCTCATTACTGAAATAAGTTTCGTACGAAGGAAACCATTTAGGGCATTATCTCCACTTACTATATTCACAAAAAGAGATAAGAGCTATTCTAGTATTCAGTTTTACTGTTACCACAATTATTGCTTACCACATGTCATAGATCACCTCAGATTTCTAGATTTGCCACTTTTTGGCGTAATAGCAAGCGCAAAAGTTATGCATCAAATAAATTAAGACCTGACTGAATATAAAAGTGAAACAATTGAACTATTTTATTCAAATAACTGTAATTTTAATTTGTTTATGACGTTTTTTTTAACCTATGAATATTTTTATCTGATTGAAAAATTGGTCCTTAGTCAAATAATTTCTCTTTTTAGAAGAATACCTGTCTAAATATATTCTTTACATATATAGACATATATATGTCTATAATATACATTGTACATACAATCGATAAGCCCTAAAATTTGACCACATTTGACTGAATATAAAAAGATAAGAATATAATATTCAGCTGTCTATATTTGATGACGATGATAATGAAAAAGATTGCGAAACAAAACAAAAGTCACATCCTTCTAAACTGCCGAGCTTACTTTGGATCTCAGGATAAACGTTTATTATACAGTCCTCTTTACCTATTTTTCAAATCTATGTTACGTCGATTCATTTTCTTTACTATTTTCTATCACTGAACTTCCACTTATTTGCAACTGATTTTGATCGTAAATTACCGGATCATCTGTCAAGTCGACCTTTTTCTCTTCGTATGCAGGTAGCAAGTCCAGTGTTGTTGGTCTCGAAAGTCTTTGAAAATCAACGACTACAGACGTATTCACACACTGTACATTTTCAAAAACGGTGCTTTCTCCTGGTACTAATTGATTCACAGTGAAGGGTGCAGCCGGATTTGATTCAACGCCGGACGTGTTTGCAGTTCCCATATTTCTTGTGAAAACAGACTTTACGCGACATGAACAGGTCTGGCAATATGGCTGAATTTGGAGAGGAGGCTGTGTAGTATATTGAGGACGTTCTACTGGTAGATCTAGGGTTTGCTCAGAAGAATTAGTAGTAGTAGCGGGTGATGTTGAAGTAGCCGTTTCAAAATTATAGTCGGTGTTGTTTTCGTTCAAAATTAATCTTGATTTTCCCCTGAGTTGCTTGTATTGGCTGCTAATCGCTATTAAGTTGTAGCCTTCGAATACTGAAATGAAAATTATATGTGTTTAGAGTGAGCTGAGACGCAAACTAAAAATGTAAGATATGATGAAATAGTAATAGAAACTGTATAAAAAAGTGTTAAACATATAACCTATTTACTTTTTGATGAGCTTCTTGGTCTTGCCACAATTGACACGTTTGGCAGATATTCTCTGCCAAGAGAAGAGATTACTAAGTTTTGATATGAAATATCAGAAGCTATGAGATCTCTACACAGCCATGCCACAAAAATAGGGTGATGGATTATCAAAGGCCGCCGCCACACGGCAATAAAATGGAGATTAACTGTCTCATTGGTCTAGAGTTTATAAACGGGTTTGAATCCCGGGTCGGGACAAAACCGGTTCTTAAAGAAATTCTCAAGTAGCAACCCGGAGTTGGGAAATTACATGTATTTCACCACCACGCCTCAGAAAGCACGAAAAGCCGATGGTCCTGATCTTGATCTCTCAACGGTTGCAACACAACTATTCAACGAATAACCGTCCTATCGGACTATGAGAGGGAAGGAAAAGGGAGTGCACAACTTATGTATTTTGTACATTTATGATTACCTAAAGATCATGTTGAAGCTACAGTCTGGTTCAATAGTTTTAGCCGGAATTATATTAAAATTAGGGGGATATGGGTTATTACGAATTTTAATTCTTTTTCAAAATATTTGTGCAATATAAATTTTATTTGAATTATTATTATTAGATTATTAGGGGGTTTATATATTAGATTAAATTATTTTTGTCAACCTTTAATTGCTTATTCATCTGTTGCTCATATAACATTAGTAATTAGTGGAATTATAACAATAAATTATTGAGGTTATTTAGGTTCTTACATTATAATAATTGGTCATAGGTTATGTTCATCTGGGATATTTTGTTTAGCAAATAGTAATTATGAACGTTTACATAGTCAGAGATTATTTATGAATAAAGATATAATAAATTTTATACCATCTATAAGTTTATGACGATTTCTATTAATATCTTCTAATATAGCAGGTCGACTTTCTATAAATTTAATAGGGGAAATTAGTTTAATTAAGAGATTAGTAAATTGATCTTGATTATCAATAATTATATTAGTTATCATATTCTTTTAGAGCAGGTTATAGATTATATTTATATTTTGGATGACATTATTATAATGGCTGTAGGCAGCAATTTAAAGCGGTGCAAGTCTCTAACCATCAATTATCTACGAAATAGGATAAGCATTTGTTTTTGTACGTGAAAGAGTCACGCTGTAGTGTACGATGAAGCATTCTATCATAGTTCTCAGGAATGACAACACATCTACATTTTGATTTTTAATCGATGATAAATGTCTACGGGCCACGGCATCCACTTACTGTCAGCTGGACTATGTGTGTTTTTCACCTTTACTTCTAATTTAATAAAATCCTCAAATGCAGATAGAATAAACCAACTGATCATTACCAGTATCATTTTCAATTTTAAGAAATCTGACTCTAATTATGACTTTAACTTCTTTTTTTTATAGTATAAGGGTGAGTACACTTGATGGTAAGTGGATGCTGTCGCCCATAGACATCTACATATATCTTCGATTAAGAATTAAAATGCAGATGCGTTGTCACCTCTGAGGACTAAAATGAAATGCCCCATTTCTAACAATAAGGATCTCAGGTTCTCTACACTCACCATACTAAAAAAACAGGATTAAACTGCTATTTTACTTCTGGGATAGCATGGTGCTACTCCGACCGAGTCGACCTATTCGTGCTACAATCATAATATAGCTGTAGGGTGGTGAAGATTATGAACGATCTTACTGATGATTATTTTATTCATAATATCCCACAGTTCTAAAATTATTATATACCAACAGTTTTGGAACGAAGTTCTTTATCGGACGATACGAATTTGGCGGATGGGGGCTATGCGAGAAAAAGTGTAAGATTTTTGACGTCATACATATCACGACCCCTTCTGATGTAGTGTAGACGACCTTGACGGCTATAAGGAAGCGAAATGGAATAATATCCATCTCCCTCGCACTTTTTCTTGTCTTGCCATGAAAGAAATATTATTTTATTTTAAATGACGCCTCATTTTAATAGACGCTCGTAATTCATTTATTTGTATTTGTTAATCAATAATGTAATATATTTATCAATAATAATATATTAGAAGCGTCAGTAGCCTAATGGCAGGGCGCAGACCGCGAACTCGAAAAGTTCACGTGAACCACTTCATACACAAGCATTTTAAGCTTACTAGAAGTGGTTTAAGAGAATATTAGTAATTTTTAATAGCATTACTAGTATTTATAAAAACAAAAAAAACTACGAAAAGAACTTCGTTAGAACCGAGTGTTATTATTACTTACAAACAGAAATAACTACGACAGTTTTCGACATGATTTCAGCTACAGCAGCTCCCAATGCCGAAACGAAGACGTCAAAAATCCAGTTGAATGTGTTTATGTATAACACATACTTTAGTATCCTTGGCTTTTTCTGAAATTAAAATTTTGATTTTTAAAGACGTCACACTAATGTCCAAATAATCGAACTCTACTCAATTTTAAGATGAAGTTAAGGCTCGTGCTGTCCCTATCACTTGTAAGTCAAAGTGGCTGTGAAACCACGAGAATTGTGCCCAAATACTCAAACGCTACTCAATTTTAAGATGACGTTAAGTCTCATGCTGTCTCTATCACTTATAAGTCAAAGTGGCTGTGACACCACGAAACTTACACCCAAATACTCAAACGCTACTCAATTTTAAGATGACGTTAAGTCTCATGCTGTCTCTATCACTTATAAGTCAAAGTGGCTGTGACACCACGAAACTTACACCCAAATACTCAAACGCTACTCAATTTTAAGATGACGTTAACTCTCGTGCTGTCTCTATCACTTATAAGTCAAAGTGGCTGTGACACCACGAAACTTACAGCCAAATACTCAAACGCTACTCAATTTTAAGATGACGTTAAGTCTCATGCTGTCTCTATCACTTATAAGTCAAAGTGGCTGTGACACCACGAAACTTACACCCAAATACTCAAACGCTACTCAATTTTAAGATGACGTTAAGTCTCATGCTGTCTCTATCACTTATAAGTCAAAGTGGCTGTGACACCACGAAAATTACACCCAAATACTCAAACGCTACTCAATTTTAAGATTACGTTAAGTCTCATGCTGTCTCTATCACTTATAAGTCAAAGTGGCTGTGACACCACGAGACTTACACCCAAATACTCAAACGCTACTCAATTTTAAGATGACGTTAAGTCTCATGCTGTCTCTATCACTTATAAGTCAAAGTGGCTGTGACACCACGAAAATTACACCCAAATACTCAAATGCTACTCAATTTTAAAATGACGTTAACTCTCGTGCTGTCTCTGTCACTTGTAAGTCAAAGTAGCTGTGACACCACGAAACTTATGCCCAAATACTCAAACGCTACTCAATTTTAAGATTACGTTATCTCATGCTGTCTCTTTCACTTATAAGTCAAAGTGGCTGTGACACCACGGAACTTATGCCCAAATACTCAAACGCTACTCAATTTTAAGATTACGTTGTCTCATGCTGTCTCTATCACTTATAATTCAAAGTGGCTGTGACACCACGAAACTTACACCCAAATACTCAAACGCTACTAAATTTTAAGATGACGTTAACTCTCGTGCTGTCTCTGTCACTTGTAAGTCAAAGTGGCTGTGAATAATGCGCTATTAAGTCTCGTGGTATCATAGTCACTTTGACATAAAGTGATAGAGACACCGGCGTCTTAAAATTAAGTAGCGTTTGAGTATTTTGGCATGATCGACTTAAAATTGAGATGTGTATTCGACCATATGTACTTAAAAAATTAACTTTTAGTGAAAAGTGATAACCGGCTTCAAAGTACTGACAAGCATAAAATAATTTCCACATTCATAAGTCGGTGCTATGACAAATTGTATAGAAGAATTGAAGCCCCGACTTCTGAAGCTAAGTATTTTTTTCCTACCTTCAGTTCTTTGATGTCAGCTATTACCTTTTATTAAAACGTTAACTGTTCGACCCTTTTAAGTGTGTAACACGAAAATTTTCGTGTACATTATTTTAGCATATTTACGTCATTAGTCCGAAGTAACTAGAAACGTATATTGACGAATCGAGCTAGCTAATTGCATGCAATTGACCTTTCGTGTTAGTTCGAAATCCTACCACGGATCGACGGTGGCGTGTAGCCCAAGGGAGGCCTAGTTCTTTTTTGGAGCGAGCCGTTGTAATGATCGGACACGCACATATATAATTTTTGAATCGAAACGCCGGAACATGAATTTAAAGTGACGACTACTTGGGCGTACGGCCCCTTAAACACAATGTCTACGGGCAGTTTAATGTGTTGAAACACATCATCCCATAAATTGTAAGTACTTAATGTTTTTGTCTTCTTAAAAGCACATGTGCTCTAATTAACAGTACACGGTGTTTCATAGATTCTTTTGCCTTGTCATAGGGGTCCTTAGTCCTTAGTCCGTACTTTGAGTATGGTCCATTATCAAGTTTAACAATGTGAACGAGGCGAGGCAGCTTCAACGGGTGGCTATATTGGGACTGGGCGGCCAGGAGACCGCGACCGGCGTACACCTGGAGGATATCTGTTGCCTCACTGCTTCGCGGGATTGACCATAAACAGTGTAATATTGTGTAATCCACCAGGTTAGTCAAAACCTCAGTTCGTAAGGTATTTTAAAATGAAAACTTGATATTTGGAGCTATACATGTGAACCGTAGAAGGAAATAAACTACTTTTTGTCTGTATGTGTATCTTTGAATTTTCATTTACTAATCATCCAACAACAGGCGCCCTGGGACACTTTTATTTTGATCCTCGAGTCCCTTGACTCTCCGATAACCGTAGCCGGTGAGTAACGCCCTAAAAAGTGTTATAAAGTGGCTACCCAACGTTGAACCTTAAGTTGCTGGATGTTAGTAGATGAATTAACCTTAATTGTAACTATTTAAGCTGTTAAAAACCCATTTAATATGAAAACTTAGTGAAATTTAATGTTAACATTTTTTTTTCTGATGTAGGTAGATTTAAGTAAGCTTGAGAACAAAGAAAGTTTAACTTGAATGTGATTTATATGTACTTAAATGAATTAAAACTTAACATAATAAAAATATTTGTGCTATTTTAAGTAGATATTTTTAATATCAACCGATTTAAGACTTTCTTGTAACCGTCAGTACATTTTAACAAAATGTCGATCCACAAGTATATAGACTCATTACATAAAGATGAAATCAGATATGAACTCGCCATTATTGGTATTTCCACAGATGAAAATGTAACCACCGATGCAGTGAGGAGGCAGATCCGCCAGGTGTACAAACTCGCACGCCGTGGAAGCATAAAGTGTGAACCACTCCAGTCACCCAGTATAGCCTCTGAACTAGAGATCTGCACCCCAAAGGTCGAACTTCTGGAATCCCAGCTGCAGGCGGGTAAAGTAGATAATCGCAATTTGACTCTTAAACTATCTCGTCGTGCAAATTATTTGATGGATAGACTAGCTCGTACCTCTGAAAGTAGTTCGCATTTGTCAGATCTTCGTAGTCGTTTGATTCGCATTTTGAGTGTCATAGACGGTGAAGATAGCGACACGGATAGTGACTACAAGGAAACCCAGGCACAGCCGTCTTACCAGAAAGTGGAAAGTAACGTGATCTATGTGAAAGATAAACCCTTGAACCTAAATACATTTAACTTAAAATTTGACGGAACCACGTGTGTTCGTGTATTTATTGAACGTCTTGAGGAACTTAAAGAGGCTCGCAACATTACTGAAGCTCGCATACTTTCAGCTTTTTCTGATCTTTTAGAAAACTCTGCTTTATGTTGGTTTAGAAGTAATAAGGATAATATCCACTCATATTCACAATTATGGAAATGCTTAAGGGACGACTTTGATATTCCCGATTTAGACTATAAACTATTAAATGAAATAAGGCAGCGTACACAGGCCAGACACGAAACGATAGTAGTCTATCTTTCCATTATGCAGGGAATGTTCTCGCGACTCACTCAGCCGTTGTCGAGTAGACAACAACTCGAAATCTTGATGCATAACATTAGACCAGAGTACATGAAAGATTTAGCTTTACATGATATAATCTCTGTAGACAAACTTAAACTTTATTGCAAACAGTTAGAAATTGCGCGGTCGCGTGCGGAACAATTTAGTGAACCTAACTTGAATAACTTTAAAATTACAGCGGACTTAAATAAACAAACGCCGCGATCTCACAGTAAACAAGTCTCTGTGCTGAATGAAGCTGGCTCTTCGAGGCAATTGGATAGGAAATGGTTTAGGTGTGGATTAAACACTCATTTCACCAATCAATGCAATTCGAAAGAGTTAGTGTGTTTTAAGTGTGGATTAAAAGGTGTTAAGCGTTCAGATTGTAGTAATTGCAATTCAAAAAACTAGTTAACACGGAACTATCCAACACCTTTAATAAAAATAGGTCTTATACGTCCAATAATGAAGAGGTAGTTCTGTTTAAAAAAAATACTAGGGATATAAGACCATACTTAAAATTAAAAATATTGAACTTACAAGCTTTTGGCTTATTAGATTCGGGTGCAACTTGTAGCATTCTTGGAAATAATGCGCATTTGATCTTTTTAGAACACGGATTTCAACTCAACTGGTTTGACACTGAGCACTACGTAAGAACTGCTGATGGTACGAGATTGCATTGCTTAGGGTATATGTCCTTACCTATTGAATTTAACAATAATTTCAGAGTGATTAACTTTTATGTTGTGGCACAAATAACTTCACCTATAATTCTAGGTGTTGATTTTTGGCAGGTGTTTGACTTAGGGAGTGACCTTGTATCCGAAGTACAGTTTGACCGAAAGTCGGAGTCATCAATATGTAATAGCATAAATTTGGTTTCTCTTAATAAAGGCCTTGAAGAATACGAGTCTTTATCCATAGAACAAAAACAAATCATGGATAAGTTAGTCCAAAAGTTTGATACTATTAACACAGTTAAAGTAGGTTTGGGACGTACCAATTTAATTCATCACGTCATAGACACAGGGGACAGCAAACCTATTAAGCAAAGGTACTATCCATTATCACCTGTTAAGCAACTAGCACTTGAAAAAGAATTGGATAGAATGCTTAGTTTGGGAGTTGTGTCACCTTCACAGTCAGCTTGGAACTCACCTGTAGTAATGGTTCAGAAGCCAAATGGGGACCTAAGGCTTTGTCTAGATTGTAGAAAATTAAATGCAGTTTCCAAACCCGATGCGTATCCTCTCCCGTATATAAGCAGCATATTGGACCAGCTCCGCGACGCGAAATACCTAACGTCAATAGATCTTTCCACTGCGTATTGGCAAATACCCTATGATAGCGAGCAATCAGCTGATAAGACCGCGTTCACAGTGCCACGTAGGGGGTTATTTAGATTCAATGTAATGTCTTTTGGCC